TGGGTTTACAGAGCGAAGGAGATTTTGTTCACGTTATTTGTGCTTTGTTAAATCGTCGTACAGTTTTTCTCGATCCAGTAAAACTAACATCAGCGTACACTTTACCACCACCAAAGTTTTGCGCACCTTGTAACAACAACAACAACAACAACAACAACAGTAACAACAACAACAACAGTAACAACAACAACAACAGTAACAACAACAACAACAGTAACAACAACAACAACAGCAACAGTAACAACAACAACAACAACAACAGTAACAACACCAAAAAAAGAAATGTTGAAATTTTGACAAATCATCGATGAATCGGAATTAAGCTGAAAATGAAACGGATATTTTATATATTTAATCAATCTTAATTAATCACTATTATTGATTATTGATTCTTTTGGTTATTTTTAATCCCTGTATCATTGAACGAAACATTGCAATTGATGATACGATGAAAATGTATGTTAAATGTAAAATAGCACAAATATTTCAAACAAACATATTAGTAAAGTGGACAAAAGAAATGTAACGTTGTCATTGAAAATGACCTCGAAATCAATTCACTAAAATCATTTTACTTCTTCTGTTCGTCTTTTCAATCATTTCATTTACAATTTCAATTTCCAATTGTAATATCTCCTATTTAAAAATTCTTTCTAATTTTTAACCTTTTATTACTACTATTATTTCAAGTACTATCTTTTATTACTACTATTATTTCAAGTACTATTTGATAATTATAAATACTTCGAATTCTTACTGTATAATATAAATTACAATATATTTTATTTTATTCGATTTTTTTTGAAATTAAATTTGAAAAATTTTAATTTATAAACTTTTAAATTGAAAAAAAAGTTTAATTATAAAATTAATATTCTCTTATTTATGCTTTCCCTTATGAAATAGAAGTTATAATATATTTCAATAGAAGTTATAATATATTTCAGCAGAAGTTATATAATATATTTTTTTACAATACATGCTATAATAAATATATGGTTTCTTTTTTACGATTACATTGCTGATAATTAAGAACTGAAAATAATATATATATATATCTTTTACATTATTATAATTAAGGACTGAAAATAATATATATATATATATATAACTAATTCATTTCTTTCTAATCGAATAATGAAAATTAGATTTTGCATAAGGCTACGTTTTTTGAATTTACTATTATTTCTTCTTTAATTATTTTAAAAAGTTTAAATTAATAAATTTTTAAATTGTTCCAACTAATTGATTCATATATTTTTGCATTTTTTCTTTCCTTAATGACACAAAAAATAATAGTGTAATTAATTATACTAATTAAAATTATTTTATTAAATTGAATGATCAAAAAAAAAAAAAATTGTTGCAAAAATTAAATTTAAAAATAAATCATTTAGTACTTTTCCATTTTTATTTAAATTATAGAATTTGATAATTAAAAAAATAAACAATCACAAAAATATTTTATTGGAAATAATGCAACGAATTGAATTTTGAAATAATATCTGTCAATAAAGATGATCGATTTGCTAACTGTTGGCTTATGCGTTATACTATTTGCAATTACTTACTATTGGCTGACAAAACCGCTCAATCGAATTAAACATTTTGATGATTTTGGTGTATTTTTAAACAAAATAAAGGTATCACATATTAATATTAATTAAAAATAAAAAATCAATTAATTAATTTAAAAAAAAAACCAATTAATTAATGAATTTTAGTTAGTTAATCATAAAATTTATTCAATAATATTATCATTTTCCTCTTTTTCAAAATATTCATTCATTAATTTGAAAAGCTTATAAATTTAATCAAACCTGATTTAAAATAGCTTAAATCGTATAATTGATATACTCGAAATTGTTTACACTTTAATCCGTATAATTAATATGCTTTATTTAAGAGTCAAAACAAAAAATAATTCAAATAATTAAATTAAATAGTTTTAAGTAATTAGACAAAAAAATTTTTTGATATTTTCACATTCTAAATTTTAAATTTATTAAACAAAAAATTTCAAATTTTAAATTAATTAAACAAAAAAATTAAATGTAAGTAATTAAACAAAATAAATGAAAATTTTAAAAATGTTTTTTTTTTAAAAAGTTTTCACTTCAGATAAATAGGCCATATAGCCAAGAATATTTGGTACAATTGAAGAAAATACGCTTTCTCGATAGAATACCACCTGTATATCCAAATGGATGGTTCTGTATTGCTGAATCAAGACAAATTAAACTTAAAGAAGTGGTACCAATTATTTTTTTAGGTTCTTTTTCTTTCATTCATCAATCATTATATTTATCATTATCACCATTATTATCACTGCTGCTATATTATATTTATTATTAAAATTATAATTATAGTACCAATTATTTTTTTAGGTTCTTTTTCTTTCATTCATCAATCATTGTATTTATCATTATCACTGCTACTATATTATAATTGTTATTACTAAAATTACAATTACAATTATAATTTAAAACTATTAAGGTTAATTTCAAATATTAACCAAACGACAAAGAAATGTGCCAATCGTTAAAAGCAAATTTTAATATATTTTCAATTAAAATTTGATATGATTTAAAAAAATAAAATATCCGAAATATTGCAATATTACTTTAATGTTGCAAAAAAACAATATCTCTTAATCAATTGAATTTTGATAAAGTTGCAAAATGTTGTTAATTTCATTATTGTCCTATAAATGATTGATTTTTTTGTTATCTGATAATATCTTTGCGATTTTATGAATCATTGAAACAATAAGCTCGTGTCAATTGTTGAAACAATAAGCTGATTTATATTACTAAAGCAATAAGCTCGTATCAATTGTTGAAACAATAAGCTGGTTTATATTACTAAAACAATAAGCTCGTATCAATTATTGAAACAATAAATAATAAATAAATCAATTTCCATAATTATTATTTATTATTATTATTATTATTATTATTATTTTAATCAGTATTATTAATAATTTTTATCCGTTTTTATCAGTTTCTGGTATATATTATTAAAACAATAAGTTCTATGCACTATTAAAACAATAAGCTCACGTGCATTATTTAAATAACAATTTCATGGAAAAATGTTATTTTATTGTTAAATTAATCAATTTTCATAATTACTTTTTAATTATTATCAGTATTAATCATAGTTTTTATCAGTTTTTCTTTTTACAGGACAACAATTAACACTAATACGATCGGAAACCGGAAAAGTATACTTAATCGATTCGTATTGTCCACATTTGGGTGCAAATTTTAGTGTTGGAGGTCGTGTTGTTAACGATAATTGTATACAGGTGGATTTTATTGAAATGGAATACATTATTTAATTGATATCAATACAATTAGCATATTAACTGCTATCATTACATTCTAGATTTATTCATTTAGGCTAAAATAAATAGCAAATAATAAACAAACATTAAGGAATTAAATAGTAATTAATAAACAAAAATTAAGAAATGAAGTAACAAATAATAAACAAACAAAAAATAATTAGCAAATAATAAACAAACATTAAGAAATCAATTAGCAAATAATAAACAAACTTTAAGAAATTAAATAGCAAATAATAAACAAATATCAAGAAAATAAATTTTTAAACGAAATTCTAATACAGCCAATCATATCCATTCCAAAAAATATATTTCAGTGGAAATATTTGAAATGCAAAAAATGCAATTACTTATATTAGCAGACTTAATATTTCATTCAAATTTTTATCGGTTAATTAATTTAAATATTATTAAAGGTTAAATTTTAAATTAAAGGTTAAACTACCATAAAATCCATTCAAAAAAAAGCGAGAAGAAAATCTGAAATTAAAAGAAATTAAAATGAGATGTCCTAAAATTAGCTATTTATCAAAAAAAAAAATTTTAATTTTTGAATTTATGAATAAATAAAATAAAACGAAACGAATAATTTAAAATAATAGTAAATTGGAAATCAAAAACAAAATTTAAAATTTTGAAAAATAAATTATTTCATATTTTAATTAATATTGAACTGAAAGAATTAGAAAAAATATTAATTAATAATGAAAATTGTTCTAATTTAATTAATAATTGATTTTCATAGAATATTATTCGAACAATGAATTTTTATTTCTCATCTCTTTCCAAATGAATGATTATAATTTGTTAATTAATTGAAATGATTTAATTTAGTGTCCATTTCATGGATGGATTTTTAACGCTGAAACAGGTATTTGTATGCGTATCCCGTATGAAACAAGTAGTACAATACCGGAACAAGCTAAAGTATCCACTTGGCCAGTGGTAGAGAAAAATATGCATATTTATGCCTGGTAGGTTAATTTTGTAAAGTTGAAATTATAATCTAAATTATAATTAATTAATTTGATGTAATCTAATTCTAATTAATATAATCTAATTAAAAATAAAAATTAATTACAGATTGTTTTTTTTTTTTCGTAAACATAACAGATGATAGAAAAAATTGATAAAATGAATAAGTTTTCGTGTTTTGCTATTTTATTAGGTATCATTGTGATGGGAATGATCCGGAATGGGAAATTCCGGATATCGATGAAATTATCAATGGTGAATGGCAGTATAAAGGTCGAACAGAACATGAAATTAATTGTCATATTCAGGAAATACCGGAAAATGGTGCTGATATAGCACATTTAAATTATTTACATTTATCTGGTATAAATAATGGTTTGTTTTTCTTTCTTTTGTTTACACCTTCTAATCAAAAGATAAAACTGGTTACAAATTATAATTCTATTCTATAAAATATGTAAATTAGAAAAGTGAATTCCTTCATCTTACCTTTAAGTATAATTTGGATATTATAATTAAATTTGGAATAGTATAATTAAATTTTAATATAATTATTGAAATTATAAACTTTTAGTATAATGAAATTTGGAATTCCTTCATCTTATCAGTATAATAAATAAGATCTCATTTATATAATTATATAGTATATAACATAATTAATTATAGGATGAATAAATTTAAAAATAGTAAATTGAAAAATTATATGAATCAATGTGTTACAGGTAATGATATCACTAAAATTGAAATGGAAAATCCGGAACCATTAGTACGGCATGTTTGGAATGGTCGATGGGAGCAACAACCGGAACCAAATAAACATATTGGTGTAATGTATTTGAAGCAGATTATGACTATCATGAAAATACCAATGCCATTTACATCTAGCGATTTGCAAGCTCGACAGGTTATTGTCGAACTAAAGACTTTTCGGTACTTAAGTTCGTGGTGATTTTTGATCACATTAATGAAATAGTCTACGATAATCACTAAAACAATACTTCTTTGTTTTAAATTGACTATGCAATTTTAAATAGTTTGAAAGAAAATAGAAAGTATTTTTATAAAATTTAAAATTTAAACATTTATTTTGCAATTTAATTGTTTTGTTAAATTTTAATGACAAATAAAAAGCTTTCAAATTTGATCAAAAAATTAAATAATTTAAATGATTTGATAATCAAAGATTATCATTTGAATTATTTGTCGGATAAAAAAAATGAAATTTGCTAAATTTCATTCATTTCAAGAATTTAATGATAAGCTTTAATGATAAGCTTATTAGCGAAGTAGGTGATAATCGATAAAAAAACGTTTCAAAAATTTAATGATAAGCTTTAATGATAAGTTTGTTAGCGAAGTAAGTGATAATCAAGAAAAGTTAACATTTTAAAAATTTAATCAATAGATTTAATTGTTAGCAAAGTAATAGTTATGGAATAATTTAAATAATTTTATCATTAATTGAACAAATTTTATTGCAAATATTTAAACTTAAATAATAATGCATTAATTTTTTTCTTTGTTTTAATTTAAAAATAATTACGATTATATATTTATATTATTAATTAACGCTTTGTAAATGTTCTAGATAGGGCCAGGTATCGTTTATATGATGTTTGATTTCGGTTGGCTTGGCCGTGGAATCGTCTTACAACATATTACACCTGAAGAACCACTCTTTCAGCGTGCACGTTTTGTTATGTACTCAAATCTTCCAAAATTATACGCTAATTTTTTTCTTCTTTGTGAAGCAATTCACGTAAGTTTATTTTCTTCACGTAATTTCTATTGTCTTTAAAGATAAGATTACGTGAAATTATTTTTTATATCAGTAAATTAATAAAAATTTATTTGTAAAAAAGAATGTAATTTTGAAATTAATTATGCAAATTAATTATTAAATAACAAAGTAATTAATTGCTAGAAATAATAACCTAATTGATTATTATTTTTTCCATTGATTTCTTTTGTTTTGATTTTAGTTTGAACGAGACATTTACGTTTGGAATCATAAATGCTACGTGAAACGACCATTGTTAACCAAAAATGATGGTCCAATTTCGAAACATCGACGTTGGTATAATCAATTTTATTCCGATAATAGTCCACGTTTGGAATTAAATGGTACTCTTAGCAATGATGTAAAATCAATATTTGATTGGTAATTTTGAAATCGTAATATATTTTGTTTTAAATGAAATTTAAATATTGTCAACATATTTCAAAATTTAATTTTGTTATTGCATTCAATCGTAAAACTGATCGATTTCCTTTGTTTTATTTATTCGTTTAAATTGGACAAAAATATCAAGCGTATATTAAAATATTGAAATATGCCAGTATGTTGCCAGTATAGTTGTAATATATCGTGAAAATAATTGTAATCATAATTGTAATACATGGTGAAGATAATTGTAACCATATTTGTAATCTTCATAATTGTAATATGTGATGAAGATAATTGTAATAATAATTGTAATCTTCATAATTATAATAAATCTTGAAGATAATTGTAATCATAATTGTAATATATCGTGAAGCAAAAAAAAAAAACGATAATTGAGTAGTGATGAATTTCAGGTTAATAATTGAGCAGTGATAAATTTCAGATTAATAATTGAGCAGTGATAAATTTCAGGTTAATAATTGAGCAGAAATGAATTTCAGGCTAATAATTGAGCAGAAATAAATTTCAGGTTAATAATTGAGGCAGTGATGAATTTCAGGCTAATATTTTTACAAATTTTACAAATTTGTTTCATCTCATCTTTCATAATTTAATATATCCAACAATTCATAGTAATTCCTTCCAATTTTTCTTTTTGAATTTAATAAATTTTTAATTCCTTCGTAATTTCAAAATATTATTTCATAATATTTCTTTATACATATATGTGAGTATTTTGCTAAATAATAATGATGAAATGATTGGTAATAAGAATTCATTGGAAAAAAAAAGATATATTAAATTTAATGAGAAATATGAAATTATGAAAAAGAAAAGGTACAATTATAAATGATATAACTTTCTACTAATTATGATTTTGTGCGTCATAATTATGATTTAAATTTGTGTATCATAATTATGATTTTACGGAAAGAAATCGGAAAATTCTAATTGCTAATGATTATAGAAGAAATAATTGGAAAATTCTTATGAATTCTAACATCATAGAAGAAAAGAAACAATTAGAAAATACATTATAATTGCTGGTAGAATGTTAATTATAGATCACATGAGAGAAGTGATAACCGGAAAAATATATTACGATTTCGATTTATTAAAAAATATTTCGATTATTATATAAGTGATAATGATAAATGATATCACATTTCAGGAAAACATTTTAATAATTATCATTCGAATAAGGAGTAAATCATTAATATTTAAATTCATCACTGATATCATTTAGCTTTCAGATTCATCACCGATATTATTTAACTTTCAGATTCATTGTCAATATCATTTAGCTTTCAGATTCATCACCGATATCATTTAGCTTTCAGATTCATCAACGATATTATTTAGCTTTCAGATTCATTGTCAATATCAGTTAGCTTTCAGAATCATTGTCAATATCAGTTAGCTTTCAGATTCATTGTCAATATCAGTTAGCTTTCAGATTCATTGTCAATATCAGTTAGCTTTCTTGTCAATATCAGTTAGCTTTCAGATTCATTGTCAATATCATTTAGTTTTCAGATTCATCATCGATATCATTTAGCTTTCAGATTCATCGTCAATATTTCTCCCTTTCCGTTCTTCTCTATCGTTTTTGAAAATGAAACGAGTGCTATGTGCTCGCCCTCCTTCCAGAGGAAACATTCCACGCATACCAATGGACAACAACTGATTGACACCATCGACAGATGACGACGGCACAAGAATGAATGAATATCAGCCATCACATCTACTACCACTTTTCAACATCTCATTTCTTTCTTTCTTTACTTTGTTTCCTTTTGATTGTCCATATCTTCCAATTTCTTTTTCTTTCTTTCTTTCTTTCAAACCTTCCCTTTTCTCTCTCTCTCTCTCTCTTACACATACATATATATAAAGAAAAAGAGAATTTAGCAAATTTGATCTCAATAAAAACCGGAAAGTAGTTTTGGAAAGAAAAACCACAACACACACATACACACACACACACACACACGCACACCCACATATACACACACGCACAATACATACACATATATACACGCATACATTTTAACTGTAAATGATTTTGTCGTGTTTAAAACGTGACAATGTTTTATGCTACTTAAAGAATAAGTTACGTACGTACGTAATTTGCGTGTCATATTTACCATATAACAAAATAGATAATGTTTGTTTATTTATGTTTACATAAATTCTTCAATTTTTGACTTTGCTTGTTAACACTTGTAATATTTTTTTATTTTGTTAATTATACCTGCTAAGAAATTTGACGTATTATAACGTTTAGAGACGTGTTCATTCCGTCATTGATCAATCCATTTTATGTTAAGAGACATATTCGTTCCATCATTGATCAATTCGTATTATGTTAGGAGACGTGTTCGTTCAGTCATTGATCATTAGTTATGTTAAGAGACGTGTTCGTTCCGTCATTGATCAATTCGTTTTATGTTAAGAGTCGTGTCCGTTCCGTCATTGATCAATTTGTTTTACGTGTCCGTTCTGTCATTGATCAATTAGTTATGTTAAGAGACGTGTTTGTTCGGTCATTGATCAATTTGTTTTATGTTAAGAGACGTGTTCGTTCCGTCATTGATCAACTTGTTTTATGTTAAGAGACGTGTTCGTTCCGTCATTGATCAATTCGTTTTATACGGTTCGGATAAGTTGAAATTGGCGTGTTTTATACGGATAAGTTGAAATCATGTTAAACGTAAAAGGAAATCTTCCAAATAGGATGAATTCATTTTAGAAAAAAATTTAACTATTAATTTTCTTCTTTCTCTCTCTCTCTCTCTCTCTTTCTCCCTCCTTCTCGTTCGTTCATTTTCTCTTTCTTTCGTCCTCATAACTTTCCTTTTTACTTAAATGAAAATTTCTATCTTTTACATTGTATATTGAAAGTAAACCATTAAAGGGTTGTATATTCAATATGAAATGACTAGTAAATTGTAAAGGATATATTATTGATTGAAATTATTAAACTATAACAAATAAAAGTTGAAAGAAAAAGGAATACTAAAAATGATTGTTTGAACTTCTGAGATATTTTTATATATTTAAAAAAAAATAAATTTAAGGTAAAATTGCTGAAATTAAAATTTTTTTGAAGCGTACATTTAAACTTATCATCGTTACACCTTAAAATTTACGTATCTTCTTTTCATTTCCGTCTAATCGAATAATGAAAATTAGACTTTACGTGAAGCGAGTAATGAAAATTAAACTTTACGTGAGGCAAACAATGAAAATTAGACTTTAGCGATACGTAAATTATTTGGATGATATATCGGAAATGTCACTTATCTTTTCTTTTTTTCATTTCCGTCTAATCGAATAATGAAAATTAGACTTTGCGTGAGGCGAATAATGAAAATCAGACTTTACGTGAGGGAATAATGAAAATTAGATTTTACGTGAAGCGAGTAATGAAAATTAGACTTTACGTGAGGCAAACAATGAAAATTAGACTTTACGTGAGACTAAAACTTTAGCGATACGTAAATTATTTAAATGATATATCGGAAACGTCACTTATCTTTTCTTTTCTTTTTTCATTTCTGTCTAATTGAATAATGAAAAAAACTCATTTCCGTCTAATCGAATAATGAAAATTAGACTTTACGTGAGACTAAAACTTTAGCGATACGTAAATTATTTAGATAACATATCAGAAATGTTTCTTTTTTATGATTACATTATTGATAATTAAGGACTGAAAATAATATATATATTTATAACGAACTGATTTCCTTCTAATCAAATAATCAAAGTTAGATTTTACTGTGATGCATAAATCATTGTATTATAAACAAAATTATTTTAGAAAATAAACTATTATAGTTTTTTTTTTCTTTCACGAAATATTATAAATTATGTATAATTATTACAAACAATAATGATTATTTAATTTTATAAATTATGTATAATTATTACAAACAATAATGATTATTTAACAAAAAATGATAAATTCCAATGAATGATAAATTTCAACAACATTCCACAAAAATCAATGAAATTCTATATGAAATTTGGTTATGTTAAAAATTTTTCATTATTTACTATTATTATTATCATTATCAGTTGACTGTGATAATAAGCTAAAAATTATTATGAATGATTAAGATTTATTGTATCCATTAATGTTTATCATAATATCACAATATAAGAAATTTTATTCGCTATTTACAACATTGTTGTTACTATTATTATTATTATTATTATTATTATTATTATTATTATTATTATTATTATTATTATTATTATTATTATTATTATCAGTTCATTGTGATAATAA